TCCTGCTGCTGACTCACCCTCACAGAACTTGTAAGTTTTCTTTAAAAATAAATCACAAACCCACAGAAATTCCTCAGTAACATGGCGCCTGTTTTACAAAGAGCTGAAAGATCTGATTCTGATCTCTCACAAGTATTGCACAGCTGTGGTTTTTAATCCATTAAGAAAACACAGTAACACTTTATTCCAGCCACTTTGGTTTGGACCCTGCTTTTTGTGTGTAAGGCTTTGTAGAAGGCTCAGTATGTAAACACTCTTTTTCATTTGTGGCCTTAAACTTCAGGAATTCCTTAGTGAGGACACTCCTAATTTAATCCTAGTTTATTCTAGCCATTGTTTTTGTAAATCTTTTTGCCTGGCTGTTCGTTTTAGCTAGCGCTATCTCCAGCCATTAATGAGAAGAAAATACTTGAAAGAGGTATGAAGCCTGATGCTTCAAGGGTTGAAGTAAATTCCTCAGAGTGAGCCTTCAAGATAAAGTCCCAGTGTGCAAACTACCCCTGCAACTATTTACTCTGGATTCTTGAACCTGCCTTAGAAGGCCCCGTTGCCCTTAGTAGTAGGCTGGCATGGTGGGGAGTTTCTGCCCTACAATGACTCTTGCCTTGAGGATCTATGTACTGAAAGTAGGGTGCCCCAGCCTCGCTCTTTCTCATCTCTGCTAACGTTCATGAAACACTAATTGACTTGCCCTTGGTTTTAATGTTGTGAACCATTGAGCATAGCAAGTGTTGATTGCAAAGAGAAATCAAAACAGGTTTTGTAAGACAACTTGGATGGTGACCAACTCTTTCTTCTAGAGCTCACTGTTTATGTTGGGGAGCAGCGAGGGGGGTTTCAGCCACATCCTGCTACCACGTTTTGTAGAGAAACAAGTAGTTGAAAGAGGCCTAGTAGGTACGGAAGGAAATGCAGCATGGCTTTTCTCTCACATCACAGCAATATTCCGGCTCATGCTTTCAGGGGATATTTTTAGAGTACGTGTTTCTCGTACCCTAGAAAGACTCCAGCGTGGCATTTGATGTGTGGTGATTTGCCTTTTCATTCTGCATTTCTGTCGTGATTTTACGGGAAGGGGAAAAAAACCAAAAAACCTCACCACACAAACAAACCTCCACACCCACCCCCCACCAAAAACCACCCCAAGCCCCTAAATTCCAAGACTTGTAGCCTTAATACTCAAATAAAAATAAATGTAAAAAAATAATTTGGGGAAGAGGAAAAAAAAAGAGATTAGAGAGAAACATTCACATGTCATTAATTGTTGGTGTTCTGAGATCTGTAGCATTTCTGAAAATGTTTTGCAAAGCTGCTTCCTTTGTTAATAGAGATCTGGATCACTTGGGAATGGATATAGAAAGGATGGCGTTTGTGATGAACGTTAATCAATGTACAATTCAGCCTCTCCCTCACTGTTAAATATGAAGGAGTTAGATTGAAAAACCACCTCTGGTGCTTGAGCTGTCTGGCGCAGTACCAAAGCTCTTAAAGCTTGAGTAAGAAAATACAATATTTGCATGAGTATTGTTTCTGTTATGCAGCAGGCGTCTAAAATACTTGCTTTGGTATCAGGTGGTTGCGAGCAAACGTCATTACTTCTAATACTGATACATTTTATCACTTAAAATAAAACTTGATGAGTAACCGATTTTTCTTTTTTGCTTTAAACAGTCCAAATCTTCAAGTAAAATCAAATCATGACGCTCACAAATAGCAATGTTGCTTGCTTTGCACATGCAATCTTCTGAGAGCAAGAGGAAGCTGTCTTTGTTCAGTCTGTGGGGATTTGACACAATCTTATCTAGGAGCGGTTAACCGTACTGCCTGTGCCCTCTTTGGAGGGAGGGATAGCTGGGGAACGGGAAAGGGAATTGGTCCCTCTGCAACATCTTTATGTATCTACACAGGGATTCTGGTGGTGTCAGGAAAAAGAAAAAGCAGCATCCTATATGGCAGATCCTTGTGTTTTCTTAGCAATAGTTGTCAGGCACAACTGACCAGAAACACACTGCTCTCTTGTCTTTCTCTCCCAACAGCAAGTTTTTCAGAAGCTTTGCTGCTACTTTGCAACTGCTGGCAGGTTGATAAGGTCCAACTGAAAGCCTTTACCCATTGAATTTTGGGACTGTGAGCTCTTAATTCACTTCAGCTCAGCTTTTGTGAGGGAAACTTCTGGTTTCTGATGCGTGTTATGTGCATTTACTCGTAGTAAGCTTGTTTAGTGGAGCTGCCTTCCTCAGAGGAATGAATTGCTAGGGAAATACAGCTGGAATTCCCCTGTTAACATGTGGGTGTTCACTAAAGTGGCTCAAAAGCTTGCTTCTACTCCCATGTTCTGCCCTATCAAGCATAGGAATCAAGTAGTTGCTTCTGAGACTCGAGGTGCTTCCTGTGTGCTAAATGAGTGCTTTCCCTGGACTGTGAGAATTTTACCATGGGCCATTGACTTCTCCAGAAATGTCATCTCCTATAGAACCTGTTGCTAAAAAGTTATTTCTGTAGAAATCAAATCTCCCCTTCCTGTCCTGTTCCAGCTAATTGTCTTAGGCTATATGTTTCTAAGGAACTAACCTCCAATGGTCAGGCTGTAGTGGTGACAATACAGAAGCCAGATAACCTATTAAAAAAAGAAATTTAGGTGGATCTTTGTTGCATTTACATTGCTAAAGGAAAGAAACATCAAGATGCTTCTTCCTGTCTGACTTGGATGCTTTCCTTTTAACCTTTATATTGTTCGTAGAAGCCTGACTAGCAACAAATGAACATGCAGATCTGGTATCATAACTCTGCCCTCAGCCTAGATTTGGATTATCCAGCTTGGTAATGTGTAAGTTTAGATAACTTTTACAACATGCTGGTAGGGGCACCGTACCAGTGGTTCTTCCTGTGGTGTTTTCCCACTGTGAAGATGATGCAGTTCAGGACCCAGCTTTAAGCTGGGAGATGCAAAAGCCAGATATCACGTAATAAATTGTCTTGAAGGAACTGTTCAGTCCAACAAATAGACTGCAAATCAACACATTTGTCAAGTGCTTTCCTGTTACAGATGATAATCAACTGTTTTGTGGTTAATGTAAGATTTGTCATTTTTCTTTGTGTCTGGCACTTGCCATGCAGCTAACTGGTCCTCAGTCTTAGTTTTCATGTAAATATGGTTTGTACCATAACTTTGACAATGAATTTAGGCAACTGTGTCTGCCGCAGCCAGCAGTGACCCCGATAACATAGGGCTGTGGAGGAGTACATTTCTCTTTTCTTTGACTCAGGGTGAGGAGGGGCCATGGTTCTACAGAGCAGCGCCAATTATCAGCTTGACTATTTCTTTTCTCGTTTTCATGAATTCCTTTAAACACACTTGACAGCGTTTCAGCAGACCAAGTGTCAGCAGTAAGGAAGGGTGAATAAAAATGAGTGAATGGAGTTCACTGCTAGATATATTTAGTACTTTGCAAAGGTGTTATGCTCATTCGCAGATATTTTTCAAACCAAAGCACTGAAGTGTTTAACCAGAACTTGTGCTAGACCATTGAAGTGAATTCACTGGTGCTTGGAGCTGAGCTGTTGGCCAGATTTTCTAGAGAGAAAGAGAAGAGATGGGTGTATGAGAAGATTGGGGTGTTGTCAATCCAGCCCTAATCATCTGACTGAATCTGTTCAATCTCTGATAAGTGCTCCTTCATTGTGCAATAGCAAGGCCTCCTGTGCACACAGCCTAACTTCTCATTTGTCCTTTCCGAGTTCATTTATGTGAAGCTGCTTGTGCCCCCAGGCAGATGTAAGTGCCATGATTTGTTAGAACTTAGCCAGTGAAAATGTTTTGGAGTGGCAGTCTTGAGTAGAAATGCATTTGTAAGGCTTTGTCCCTCATACTTGATCCCACATACTTGATCTGTTTCTTGAGAAACATAGAATCCTGAGTTGACGTGCCATCCTAAAGCTTTGGATTGCATTATGCCTCAAGATTTTTCCCAATAAGTCACTCAAGTCTTCTCCAGCTGTGTTCTCCATGTTGTATCCAGTGATGCAAGAACTGCTTTGGAGAGGGAATCCTGGGCTTTGCAACTTCCCCAGGCACTGTCACTCTATTGCATCACTGTTGTCCTCCTCCAGATCTTGCGTGTTTATAGTATCAGCAGCTGCACTGTTGGGCAGGAAGGGAAGCTTCCTTTTATGTGGGTATTCCTGATTTTTGTGTGGCTGCTGGTGCTGGGCTGAGGTTTTTTCTTTTACCCTTGTGGTATAATATTCACCCTGAGAGGGGAAACATCTTGAATACAGGACGTTGTGTTTCATGGGTGTTGAGCGCAGCACGCTTTTTGGTTCACCTTTGCTAATATGCCTGGTACTGACTGCCCTTTCCTCTGTCTCTGTGCTGCACACTTTGCTACTGCTTGCGAGCTTAAATTGCAAGAGCCCTCAAAGACCACGGTAAACTCCCACTCTACTAAACTAAGAGGTGCTGCTCGCACCTGCAATAAATTGCAGGCAGCCCCAAAGGCTTTGCAGTCTGAAAGGCAGAGGCAGGATGAGCAACTTGGTACTGGGAGGCAAAGAGGTGACGTTGCAGTTTTACTGAGATAATGACAGCTGCCCAGTCATCAGAATAAAATGTTTGTTAATGTTTACCACACTGTAGTGCCTAAGATACCAGTTTCTTCTTCTTCAGGTAGAGTGGAAAATATAACTATGCCAGTGAGTTTGCGTTTCATTGGCAGACACTAACTTTTACCTTTTAAGACCTGTATGCAATTCTAAATTCTAGAAACAGCGTTAAGTGAGCTTTCAGATACATTTCTCTCTTTCTAAGTAGTGATTTTACTAGATAGAGCACTTTCTTTATTCCCCTTCTGCTTCTGTTTTCAGGGCAAGGCATTTCAGAGAGAGCATCAAATTTATCCATGAGTGCCGGCTTACAGGTGAAGGCTGCCTAGTTCATTGGTACGTATACCACTTGCTAAAAAAAGTTCTTAAGGGTTTCTCTACCTTGATTTGGATGTTCATCTTTTTAACGATAAGTTAGTGTTCATCTACATTTTATAGCACAATCCTCTTGGGCTGAAATGCCCCCTTTATTTGAAGAGCCCCAGAAGATTTGCAAGTGCTATTAAAGCCTCACGCTAGGACTTTAGAGTCACTGGGGTGGGCAGCTGCCTGCAAATAAAAGGAACCCAAGAAATTCATCTTGACAGTGTCTTTGTATCAAATCTTTTTGTAGGATTGATTTGACTAGAGAAGCATTGACTAGAGATATATTATTTATTTCCTGTTATTTTAATCACTGTATTTCTAAATGTGATTTCCATAATCCTAATAATTTGGTTAGTTTCTATAACAGCTATTTTGGTGACTTATAGAGTTGTTAAAAAATTTCCTCTGAACAGAAATCAACTTTTTTTTCTCTTTTTTTCTTTAAACTGCTGAAGCATTCAAATGTTGCATTTGTTAATAGCAAGTCTGATTGGAGAGATGCTCCTGGGACTGTAGAGAATAGAAAAGGAAATCCCACCCTGGGTTTTTTCTTGCTCTCTGCTATTGGTTGTAGTCTGTGCTGTATGTCCAAGTGACATATCTCAGTCTATATCTGGAATCAGAGTAATCTCGTGATTTGAACACTGGACTGTACAACGTAGGACTTGTACCCAGCATAAATCCTCGGTTTGCTACTGACTCATGATAGGGCTGTGCACGAGTCATTTGGTCAGTCTCCATGTATGTAAAACAGGGATAATTAGTCTGAATTCTGACAGAGTTTTAAAAAAATATATTTAAATTTGTGAAGCAAATTTCAAAAGCATAAAATGTTCTTGAAATGCCAAGTGAAAGAGTCTGGTATAAATGTAACTCAAACACATTCTTTATACTCACGGTAGTAATAGTTTGAATTTTTTGTCCAGTGCTGTCAGACCAGTAGTAGTGAATGATTCTTACTTCTCCCCAGTGTCTCATGTGGGGAAACTGGAGTCCCAAGGGGTGAAGTTGCAAAGTGCATGGATAGCAGGAAAGAGCTCAAGCAACCAGACATACTTACTTCAACAGTTCAGTTAAAGTTAATTTCGGCCCCATGAAATTGAAGCCTGTATTCATGGTGGAGGCAGAATGGTCTTATTTCACTGCTCCGATCTATATAAGCAGAAGAAAGTGGGTGACTTATTTTCAGCCTATTAAAACCCAAATCTAACTTAGAATATGTGCACTGTCCCCTGCTATTGTGAAGTCTTAATATGTATTTCTTCCTTTCCAGTCTCATATGAATTACCACTTGGAATGCATTTTCTCGATCTTGTCATAGATTTGTTCTGATACCTTTGAAAAAGCAGCACCAAAACTCTTCGACTCAAATATTTCTTCCTTGTGGCAAGCAACACAGCAATCTGCTGTGATGTTGAGAAGTGATGCTTTTAACTGTGATAGATGAAATACAGCACTTCTCCAATTTATTGCACCTCCTTTTTCATGCAGCCTTGCAGGTGTCTCCAGGAGTGTAACATTGGTGGTTGCCTACATCATGACCATCACAGACTTTGGTTGGGAAGATGCACTGTCTGTTGTCCGTGCAGCAAGGTCCTGTGCCAATCCTAACATGGGTTTCCAGAGGCAGCTACAGGACTTTGAAAAACATGATGTTGATCAGGTAAATGAACTACAAATGAATGAGCTGGGCTACTTCTCCTTATTTTGTGGCCTGGGTGGTTTATCTGACTCCCTGGTTTTGCTTTGAGGGAGTGGCTTCTTCGCCAAGCCCGCTCCACTGGGGTGCGGTTAGAACTGAAGCTATCAGGGAATGCTGGATGGGAGTAGAGATGAAGCACAACTTCTAAACACCTCCTGCCCACCAGTGCTCTCAATCCAGTGATTGCTTCATGTGTGCTAAGACACAATACAAGACTGACACCTTTTGAGGGGTAAAAACTAAAATGAGTTGCTCAGAATGCAGCAGAGAGACCACCAGTTGCATAAAAATAGTGGGTTTCCCCCCAACACATTCATTTGGAATAGTAAGCAGGAAAGAAATCATAATCAGAAATCTTTGCTATCCAGGAGTTTAATTAGGTTCTCATTATGACTTACGTGTCAAGTTCTCCCCCTCTCGCTTCTGTGGCTGAGACTTAATAAACTTTCTGATGTGTAGAACAGTCTCAGATCTGACCCTTTTACTTCTTAGCCTTTGAAGGCTTTGCGGGACTGGGAGAATTGAGGGAACAGTAAGACTGCAAAGTGGTTTTCATAAAACAAAAATTAGTTTCTTACCCCTAAAAAAACCCGTCCCACGCAAAAGACCTGCTCCCCGTGGGTGATCGGTGACTTCCACTTATGTTAACAACCTACTCTGGCCGTCCCCTTCATTTTCCATTGCTCAGCATGTTGCTGTTCTCTGGGCTTTTGTGCCTATTGTGCTTATTAAAAAATCAATAACAACAACAGAAGCAAACCAAAATCGGAAAGCAAAATGCATGAGGCAAAGGATGTTGGGTTTTTTTTTTTTATTATTCCATCCCTGTCATTCTGCTGCAGAAAGCTCAGAGTTTAGAAATTACCATTTGTTTTGCATGATGCAGTTTGCAACTGTAAATATTTGCGTTTTTTTAATATTTAACTGAATGTTTCCTGGATCGTTTGGAACTGGTGTAAATTGTAAGGTAACAGATTTTTAAGAGACAAAAGTCAGAGGGGGACTTTCCAGACTTGTCTCCTTCCTCCCTTACAGTCATTTCTACTCTAATTGGTCTGGGCTAACAGCAATGACAATTAAGGCTATATGCAAATAGCCTGATAAAGACAGTAACGTCTCTTTTTTTTTCATCCATGATGGACGGCACATTCTGCCTTTTTTCAATGAGGGGGAGGCAGTAGGCTGCAAAAAGAAATATCCACCTGTAGTCACTGGCTGGGCTGTAGTTTCCTACTGTCTCTTAACAGCAACCACATCCTTAGCAGGTGTCTGTTTACACACCTGATTTCAGTGGAATAATGCCATCTGCCAAGGGCGTGAACTTTTTTCTGATTTCAGCAGCATGGGTGTTTTGCTGTGCTGCTATAGGGTGGTATCCTGTGGGGTTTCTGGAATGAGGTCCTTTAGATCTTGGTCTTACAGGAAGGGGTTTAGTGATTGAGGTCATAACATGGTTTGCACCAGTTCCAAACTTCCCACCAGGACATGTGTGGTAACCTGAAACTTCAGATTTAACTGAGGACCTTACGATCTTTTAGGAATGGGAGGGAGGAACTATGTTGAGGACTTGTCTCCCAATGTCCTAGTAATGGTCTTATGGATAAAGCTGTCCATGAGCCCCGAACAGGACAAACCTGTGAAAGTTAAGGCCTGAAAAATGATCATAGTAATATTACCCCCACTGGGACAGAGCAGTTAGGGTCTGTGTCTACTTGCTGCTTCTGCAGAGAAGAGCAACAAGATTGTCAGGAATGACTCAAATTCTTCAGCTGGCAAAGAATGACAGAGAAGGATGTGATAAAGGTCTATAAAATTGAGTGGACTAGAGAAAGTGAACAGATGTGATTTCCACTCTTCCCTGTAACGTGATAGGAAGCTATCAATTGGCAGGTCCCAATTGAGGAAAAGGAGAGGTTTTTTTATACAGTATGTACTTATGGAGCTTGTTGGCTTCCAGATATCTTGTGGTAAAATTTTATGGATTCAGAAGGTGATCTCATGGAAGAAAAATTCATTTGTAGCTATCAAACACAAAGATACTGCCTCAGCCTCCAAAAGCACCTGAGCTGAAAATTGCTGGAAGCTGAGGAAATGAGCAGGGAATTATTAATCCCAGCATTATTGCCCTGCCATTGCCCGATTCTTTCTTCAGCATTTATATCTGGCTACCCTCATATCAAGATACAGAGCTGGATTGACCTTCAACTGGACCTGGTACATCTGTTACCGCATACCATATTCAGTCATTCATGTCAGTAACGTGTCTTTTATAGCTTTAAAAGCTCTCGGTATTTTTTCTTCCTAGAAGATACCTTTCCTGATATCCACAGAACATTTCTTAATACTGGTGTTTGTGGGCTCAGGATGAGAAACCCGTATGAGTGGTTCACTTTCTGATCTTCAGCCTTCTTGTGGCCTGTTGTGACTTGGGCTAGTTGGCTGATCGTATTCGCTTCCATGCTTATTCATCTCATTGTATATGCAACAGGAGGAGGGTGCTTTTAGGTCAAAGGCACCCTGGTCTGGTGGGTGTTCTTCATTCCATATTACTCCAGTCAGCCAAGTTGTTATGCAAGTGTGTCATTTTAGGGGATGTAAGGGATCTTGGTGACTTCAAATATGTGTTCCTGTGCCTGTGTATTCTGTGCTGCTGTTGAAGGACATGCAATATTTGGAGCGCATTTCTTTAAACTATTTGTGTTCTTAAAGGCTCTTGTAATTCTGTAGGACAGGAGGGGGTAATTGTTCTGCATCGGTCTCATGTTGTTTCATCATATTGTATATGTATGTTCAATTTCTGCAGTTCAGGCAGTGGCTGAAAGAAGAATATGGGGAAAACTCTTCTCAGGATCTGCAAGAAGCCAAACATCTTCTGAGCAAATATAAAGAGCAGGCAGAATTGCAGCAGAATACTGGAGGAAGACAGTGGAATAACAACTTCTCATCTGTGCCGTCTCTGTCATACAGCAACTACACAACAGAGACCTAATCGTAGGAGGTTGATTTTTTTTTTCTTTCTACCTTTGAAAAACATCTTGCCATAATTTCCATCCCATCTTCGAGACTCTCAGCTGTAATCATTCAAACAGTTGATTTGTAGAATACTTCTTGATGAAAATACTACATTATGTGTGTGTGTATATGAGTGTGTTTGACACAGTTTTGTAAGTTGGGCAGGATCAAGCTCTCTGTATGCCCAGAGACATGATCCAGTTACTGTGGCTGAGCCAGTGTGTCAACCAGCCGCAGCTATTATCCCCTTATGCCCACATTGCCCGGCATTTGCTGTGAGGTTAGCTCAACTCCTTTCATTGTAGGCTAGCAAAGGGCTCTGAGAGATGAAGTCTGGTGATTCAAGCTGTGGCAGTTTGACATCTCCGCACTATTAACGTGGCAAAGATGTTATCGCACCTGAAGAAGAGACCTCGGGTCTGTGTCTCTGCTGCTCCTGTTCACAGTCCATTGGCAAGTAATACCGTGGAGGTGGGCTTGAACTTCAATGCTAGGCTGCAAACTGGAGCAGGTGAGATATGGGTACACGTACCTTCCTACCAACAGTAGCATCTAGGAGAGAAGTGAGCCAGACAGCTCTGAGTAATAACATCTTCAACTGCCACGGTTGTACTTGCTTCAGTGCACGTGAGACAGAGCTGTCGGGAGAACTGCCGCAGACCAAGAGCACAGAGACTGTTACCACAGCTCAGCTGATGTGCAGTGATTTAAGCCGTGGTCCCTTGATTGTGCATCTGGTCTCCCGACATAAGCTTCTCTGGAGAGTAGTTTTATCAGGTCTCCAGTGCTGCTGAACTTCATTCCCCGTGGAACATGTGCCTCTTCAACACACGCCCCTGCGCACATGATAACGTGTCTCCAAAGAGTGGGCTCGGTGTGAGTGCGAGCACCTGTTTCTTTGCTTGTGCTGTGGTTTGCTCTTTGACTTCAGCTACCTCAAAAATGCTGTTCTTGTCATTGTGGTTGTAAATGCAACCTTGAAAATTGCCTTCTGTAATCTTAATCTGACACTGAGTGAAGTAAGTGGATGCATGTGCACATGAGACTGTGCGTGTGCATGTATTTCACAAATGTCTGTATTTGAGAAGTTTATTGTTTTCTTTTAAGATTGCCCATATTTCTCACTGGTTTAAAAATTGAGTTGTTTGAATTCAAGTTTCTGCCATTTTAAAGCCACTGTATATTTTGCTGTGATCAGATTTGTAGGAATGCATTTGTAAAATATGTTTTAAACTAGGTTAAAGATAGGGGCCATACTCTGATCTCAGTAATGTTTTGTGTTTCTGGAATGGAGCCATTGCCTGACTCAAGCGTATTCTAAAAGTGTAATTTCAAATATGTCACCAGGGATGCTGGGCAGTGTACTGATTTCCGATGGTGTAATGGGGGGTGGCACTGATGCCAAGATCATGATTTCTTGTCTTTGACTCAGAGGATGGAAGGCCTATTTTTCTTGAAGATTCCAGAAAATAAAAAATACCTCCCAAACAGACAGGATACAAAACCAAAATGTGGTGTATATCATGCTAAAAGCTGAGTGCTGAGCAAGAAGCAGTCTGCATACTAAATAGACTGTTGTCTCTCTCAATTTCTTCGGTACTCTGACCTCCCATCCCTTCACAAGCTCCCTCTCCGTGTGATTTCCTGCTTGCTCTGGGTGGCAGTGAATTCTCTGGATGGGAGCAAGGCTTTTAGGGTCAAGTAAGCTCTGGCTGTTAAATATCTGTTGTTAAGTATCTTCAAAAAAATGTGTTATGGCCTGTGAAATACAGATCTTGCATATCAATAATTGCCAAAAAGGAAAAAAGGGAATGGGGTGGAACTGGCCTGACCGTTTCACCTGAGTCCAAGCCTGCATCAGGGTTCTCATTGCACTGAGTGCTTTCAGCGTACTGAACACGGCGGGAGTGGGATAATCATGTCTGTGATGCAGTAAGGGATGCTGTTGGATTTGGAAAAGGTGCTGGAACTTTGTTTTCAAACTTGTAGCTAAATGAACCACTGCCTGTTTGGTATGTGTTTGCCTGGTAAGAGAAGTATTTAGCTGCTCTTAAGGATGTCGATCTGCAAATAATTGGCTGTGTAGGAATTCCAGCACAGCAGTGCCCACGTTGGCAGTCCTCGCTGTGCTCTAAGGGTAGATGTGGTAATTGGAAAATGCTTTCCTCGGTAACAGGGTCTGACAGGCGTTCAGGATGCTGGTCCATTTGTTCAACCCTCTACTCGTAATAGATTACGTAGCTCAACTTCAGTCCATCCCCAAAGGACAGCTTTGTCAGAAGCATTCTGCCTACGCTCTTGCAGGTAACCAGTCAGTCCATCCTGTAGCTGACTGCCAGCTCTGTGTATCCCGTAACACTTTTGGCACTCTGGCCCTTGCGGTCGTAACCCCGTGAGTGCTGGTAAGTTGGCAAGTCTTTTTTCTGGTCGGACAAATACAAGGCAGAATGGGAGACGTCTGTTAATGTTTGCGTGTCCAAGATTATTCCATACTGGATTTTTTAAATAGTTTGATTATCTCCAAAGACTCAGTCCCACGAATAGGATTTTTTTTTTTTTTTTAGAACTGAATTTAGCTTTAGGGCCATATAGCCACATCAATGTGCATTATGCTGCAGCTCAAAAGCAGATACAGGGTAAAGCAGGAAGACGGAGGGAGTGCCATATTGTCAGCAAGTGGAAGTGCTTCTCTCTTTTAAAAATACAGAAGAGGTATTTTCTGTAGTTTCTTGCTTCTACATCTTGTTTTAGTGGTCCATATGTACTGCATACGGCATTTAAGAGTGGCAAAAGAGCAATAGCAGTCTAAGAAAACTTGAATCTGGTTTGTCCATGTAGAGAGCAGAATGATAGTTTACTTCTTTATTGCCACAAGGTGCAGAAGAGGGAGTAGCTGCACCTTTGGCCTTTTAGAAAGGGAGAGGAGCTAACACAGCCTGAGAATGTGGCATGATTTGTCTTCCAACCAGCCTTTCAGTGGCAGTTTGTAGGACTTTCCAGATATCTGGAACATGACTAGACCCCAGTCCACTTCTTAGCAGTTGGCCTTTACAGTGTAGACAATACATTCAGTTATTTTGTTTCTGTACTTCAAAACACTGTCCTCATTTTGATGTTCTCTGGAAAATGTATAAAGTTTCTAACACTTTATTGGATACCCAGATTTGAAATGTATAATCGATTTTTTTTTTTTTTTTTTTTTTTTTTTTTGCTAAACTTGATATCCATGTGTGATTATAAGCAAATGTTTAGTGTTATACGATGTAGGTAATGGGTAAGTGCATTAGTATTTATTACCCTGATTTTTAACCTGGAAAGAGTTGCTTCCTTACATTTTGTGGTTGAGTGGAAGATATGGCAAGTCATATCTCTGTTTTTTAAAAAGGAGAGTAATAACATTGGTTGCTATAATGGCCACTGCCTATAAAGAAGTCAGTGAAAAATTATAGTAATTACTTGAGCTAGTTTAAAAACTCTAAACCTGGTAAGCTTCTTAATTCTCTGTCTTCCTCTTCCTGGGCATCTTAGCGAAGCCTTGATTGCTTTTCCAAATGTTTGTATTTAATACGTTCTACAATTTTTTTATAAATAAAAGTAAATGTTAACACCTGATCTGCGTGTGTATTTCTTGAAATAAATAATGGCCTCTGGAAGGTTTCTACTCACTGTTTGTATCCCTGCAGGTACAATAGGAGTACAAGACTAACTCATCTTGGTATTTAGATTACTTTTTTTCTCCTGCGCACAGACTCCTTGAGACTTCTCCTCTCTTCACCAACTTCTTCCAGGTGAGTTCAAGAATCTGCAGCACGATATCTCTTGGTAGTAGACCCACAAGAGGATGTCGCATGCTGCTCTCTTACTTACTGTTGTTGGTCCATCATTGTGACAGGGTATGTGGTGAATCCAAATTTTTTATTCTTTTGAAATACCTTCTTTTCCATATGACACTGGTTTAGGGATTAATTAGCCGTAGAACTTAGCTGTTTTACAGACTGCCGGGACTCAAGGCTGTCAGTAGTGGTTTGTCAGAGGAAGCTGATGTAAGTGGCAGATGATGATTCTTGGGGAAAAAAAAAAAAGAAATATAAAAACTTACAGTGTAAAAGGGGGGAAAAAAGCCCCATTTAAATTCCCACAGATAACACTGAATTTCTGGTTTGACACTACCTCTGCTAAGAGGGTAATTCTGGCATTTGAACAATCAAAAAAAACCCCACCAACCTGAAAGTATAATCAGTCATGCCTAAGTAGCCAGATCTCGCGGCCACTTCAGTCGTTGCTGCAGAGGGGCTACCTCATCATGAAGGCAAAGTTAGATGCTCAGGCACAGTGGGGATTGTGTCTTTTCTTTTTGCCCTCTCCTCCCTCTCCCTGCGCTTGTTAGTTTGTAAACTGCTGGGAATGTGCAGATGGTTCCTAAGGGATCTCAGGGATTCAACTCATTATCCTCCATTAGGATGAAGTTGATGTGTCTGTAGATAGCTTTGAATGTGCTAGATGGTCTCAATATACTTGAGTTCATCTTCAGTGTAAGTGGGATGGCTGTGACTTTATTAATGTGTGTTTCAGTCCTCTTCCTATCTCTCTGCGAAAAGGCTTTAAATTCAATGCAACCTGCTACGTGAGGCTTAAATTAGTAGTGTAATTACCTCCTCTCTCCTATCTGTTGCCCATAGCGATGTCTTAGCTATATGTGCTGTAGCACTAATGAAACAGAAAACGTTTAAAATATAATCCCTTGTGAATTGGGAAAGTCTCTTAAGTTTTGGAGCAGGCTTCCCCCTTACCCCCAAAGGAGAACAGCAGTTTCCAAATGAAAGACGCAGTGCTGCTTTGGCTTCCTTTTGACGGCTTAGCACCTCTCAAGGGCGATTTTTATCCAAATCACATGTAAAAACTGTGCTGCAACCATGGTGCCGTGCTGCTGTTCCCAACTGCATGTCTCGTTTCATTCAGCGTTACGCGTAGCTGCCGCGAGTTGTAGCAAATGGCAGTTGGGGTTTGATTCGCGTCGTCCTGTCCCATGTGCGGTCAGCTGAGGGAACCAGAGGGCGAACCCCCATGTCCTTGGCTGTGCTCATAACCCGATGGGGAGTTTGGGCTTTGCCAGTAAATTATGAGGGTCCTTCCGCCTCCTCGAGAAGGTTGTACTGGCGGAGGGAAAATGATGGTGGTCTCTAGAAAATATTTGACAGCATGAGGAAGGTGATCTGGCAGTGTGCGGTGGTTCTGTAGAAACCCCCGGAGACACAAAGCCTGCGACAGAAGCAGCTATTCCCATGCTTCGTTCTCAGCAGAGCTTTAACGGGGGCTCTCGTTTCCATGTGCCCCGTGTTACACGTGTGTTCAACTGTTCCATTGCTGCCTTCAGCTGCTGTCCAGTGTTCTGCCCTCACCCAGGGAACAAATTCTTCTTCGTAGGTGTCTGAATGGGTGTTCTGCTCTAGTGAGTCGTGCAAACTGCAGTTTACCCAAAGCGAGTAGCTTGCGAGTAGCAGGATGACTTCCTGTAGTTTCCATGTAGTTTCTAGTGTCATTATTAGGAGTAGGCATCTACTGAAGTAAGTGTGAGCAAGAGGTGACTCTTTGCCACTGAACGACTGCATGGCTCAGTCCTTGTAGGAGGCTCAGGTCCGCTCCCGTGAGCCAAACACATCTGCAGTAAATGGGAAATAAAATGCATTTGCAAGCAGTCTCAAAAAATGGGATTTTTCAGCCAGACCTGTGCCCAGTTTCCATTTTAGTTGAGGCAATTATGAATATGCAGGTTTGTACCCTTCTCTGTTCACTGAACCATGAATAGAGAGTGCAGAACCAAGGCATCCAGGCTACTTGAGTGCAAAGGGGTTTTAAGTTGTTGGCTCACTTGGCCGTCTATTCACGCAGGCATTAGCAAAGCACAGCTTTAGATCTGGGCAGATGCATTTACAAACGCAGCCTTTGAAAGTCTGAGTTCTGATTCCCCTTCCTCCCTTCTTTCTCTGAAAGCGAGTGAGTTTTTATTTAATTTGTCAGATACGGGGGATGGGGTTTTTGTTACATTTTCTTGAATCTCTTCCCTTCCTCCCCTCCTTTTCCCCTTTTTTTCATGCATGATTAACTTTTTTTTTTCTTTTTTAGTAACTGGTATTTATCCCAGAGGTCTTGATCAGGATAAGTGAGTGCCAAGTGGCTTACAAACAATTTATTTCCTGTAAATGTGTATTAAAAAAAGCTTACGTTATAAGGTTGCCGATTTAATTGCTTGTATTAGCAAATACAGTTCTACTGTTTGTTGGGGGTTTTTTTGTCCCACCCCTGCCATGACTTCTGCGGACATCGTCGTCATCTGTGACAGTCTGGCTCCTCTGCAGCAGTGGATGCTTTGGAAAAGTAACACTGACCCATGACAGCGTCCAACCTGACATTTGAAAAATTAAAAAGGGATATTTAACTTTTATTTGTATGTCCCAAAGCAGTGTTTGTCGGTGGACCAGCATCCTACGCAGGTTAGTGATTACAAAGAGCATTTTGCTCGATCCTCCCTATTCCTCGATTTTTAAGGCGAGGTGGGGTTTTGTTGAGAGCCTGTAAGCAGGGGAAAACTCTGCCCTGTGTTTAAGGAAAGCATGTGTTGGAGGTGTCAGAAGTATGGCCGTGCTTGTGCATGCTCACTGCGTATTTTCCCAAGGGTTGCATTTTGGAAGTCTTTGCAAGTATGTCTGCAGAGTGTAACTTTCCCAGCAAAACTACTTACGTGATCCCTGACCATCTCAAAAGAAGAAGAAAATTAAAAAAAAGCCCCACAAACCCACCCCCCCAAAAAACCCCTCCTAGAGCGCTATGCAACCTTTGGTCAAATGCTCAGATTTTAGACATGAGATTCTCCTGTTCTTAGCTAGCTTATTTACTTGATAATGTCTGGTTTGCAGTGAGGTTATTATCAGACCTGATAAAGATCTCCATTCCTCTGGAAGGTAGGGTATGTCATGCAACAGCTTGTGTCCTCCAAGTAAAGCCTCATTTTTGCAGAAGTCTGTAGCCTGGGCCCGTTTGCAAGATGCAGAAGGTGCCTCTGTGGCACACAAGTGAACTGGCTGGGCTTTCACTGGCGGGTGCTACCATTTACCCTGGGAAAAAAAAAAGACACTTCTGTTTGAGAATTGCAGAAATGAAAATGGTTTTTCAGCAATCTTGGAGGCTGTGTGAGTATACCTCTGTCATTTCTCAGGTTTGGGGGAGGAATGGGCAAAGGTTTGTCAGGATACAAAACCCACTGGGGTACATTACAGTAATGTACTAATTCACTGCAAGTGCGCTCGGGGCTTTGCTGTCTCTGGAAGGATCTTAAATACTCCTCCTCTTCCTTAACTGTATTTTCTTTTCAAGGGACTGAGGTGGGGCTTCTGACATGTTCAGAGTTGCCCTTCATTTCCCCGGGGTGGTCACCTTACATGAAGCGGATTGCACTGGAGGACATGTTTGTCTTGTGAGATCTCACATATGTCTTGTGAGATCTCACATATGTCTTGTGAGATCTCACATATGTCTAGCCAGGCGTTTCTCCCTTAGAGCTATACACCCCTGATGCACACATCAAATTCCAAAATGGCATAGAAAGGGTTACAAGGGCACCTGCGATGCAGTAAGACGGGCTAGAAAGTTTGATAGTCCTTTTTGGTGCAAAAGTCATGTGGGTTTGGCTTATCAAGAAGGCATGTTGAGTCAGCCCCCTTTGTCCAATCCCTAAAATGCTGGACCAAGAAGCATTTGGGATTCTGCTCCCAAAGAAACCCCTGATGAGAAGCACTGCATCAGCGCTGGTCATGCATT